ATTTTTTTTTTTTTTTTTAAATCTAACAAATTTTGGTCAAAATCTAGGTTTCCTCTTCAATTTTTCAGTGATTCACGAAGACCCACCAAAATATCAGGATACCTCCGAACTCCTCGTGCCGACGTGCACCCGACGACGTCCACCATCTCTGGAGCAGGTTCGGCGGCAGTTTGGACGGTGTCACTCCCGAATGCGGCCCCATGCTCACTGCCTTCCTCCTGCCGGCAGCTCATCAGCAGGAGCCCCCCTCCGTTGCCCTTCCTCCCCTGCCGTCCATAGCACCACCCTCTCATGCGCCCTCGCCGGAGAAACGCTGCACCGCCGGTCTCCAACGCGGAGACTTAGAAGTTGGAGACGCTGGCCTAGTCGAAACTCTCGGTCAAGCTCACGCGAAGACTAAGAAGTTGACCTCGCTTGGCGCGTCGCACTCATTCTCCACCACTCTCGACGTCGGCGGCTCGTCCAGGCTCGGTTTGCTCGCATACCGCCGCCGCGTTGAATATTGGAACCTCGTCTAGCGAGTCCCTCCGGCGGGACGTCAGGTACGACATCGTCTGGGTCGTGAAGCTCTCCAGCTCGATCGGCGACTGCGGACATCTCGGCAGCGAGCAGCGGAGCGACGGTTAACCGGCCGCGACGGTTTCATGCTTTTAAATATAATTTTTGAATATAATAAGTATATTTTTAATTAAGTTAAATATGCCTTTTCAAATATAAATATATATTTTGTGCTTTATATTTATATATATTATATAAATAAAACCTTATATTAGATAAATATTAAATTATATATAATATTATCACATCAAATATTTGATAATTTTGAATCGAGTATTTGCATATTCGAATTCGGATTCAAATAAATTTCAAATACTAAACACTATTTTTATTCGAATTCGAATCACGATCGAATCGAAAAATGTACTTTGATTCGTAATCTGGGTAATACTGCTGATGGCCAACACGCTGAGTTTGTTGATGTGTCTTCATTAATATTTATTATGTATTTTTGGATTTTTTTAAAGTTATATCTAGGTGTAGGTGTCTACTTGACAATGAGGATGACACATCATGCCACGTAAATAACACGTAGGATATTAAGAAAATGTTAAATGACACGTCATTACCTTATCCATTAACATTTTATCCGAATGGGGTGATTAATGCAGCATTTTTTATTAAATTGACAACTAAATGTATCTTTTCCGTTGGGACAACATAATGTCTCGTTGTTTCACAAACCCAACTTGGTGTATCGTTTTTGAAAATTTCGCCCATATGAACTATACATTCCACTGGAAGTTGGTATTAAATAACATTGTTTGTAGGATGTGTGCAATTAATAAGTCATCAAGTAGTCTAACCCCATTTAATAAAATCTACCACTATGCAGTTCAATGATTTGGGCGCAAGCAGAAAATAAAAAATAAAAATAAAAATGCATGCATTCTAACATATCATTGCCATCACTAGCATAAATACAAAGTCTTGGATGCTATTAAATTGCCACGACATATTAACTTAGTTATATATATATATATATATATAAACTACTAATCTCTCTTGTACAACTTCATTCATCTGTACGAATAATGGCTCCCAACAATAGATGGAGTCTTGATAGAAAATTTTATAGACACAGATATAATAATATAAATTCGTAGGTAACAATCATTTCAATCTTTTGTAGATTTATTGAGGTTACATCAATTATGATAATATTATTTTGAGCAATAATAAGGGTATACATTTCATGTTTCATAAAATTGGTGTAAATTATATAATACCTTGTCATATCGGTATAAATAGTATTAATTCTATGACCTCTTAAATTTTGTTAAATTGAGCAAATAAATCCATGCGTAGGTACATTAGCCCACATCTTTAGGACGAGGCGAAGTTCTAATGCGGGATCCCATTGTTTCATGTAACGGGCTAACTGAACTAAATGGGCCTAACTTTATTATATTAGTGATTGGGCCTACTTTGACACTCATGTCCAACTTAAATTCATCACATCCATGTCTTACTAAGTCGAGCTGATTCGGATGAAATGATATTTGATAGCAGAATTTTATTACATAAATAAATAAAATGAGAAGCAACTAAGTGTAATCTGTATGCATTATCCTATTAGGAGCTACCAATTATATATAAATGTATAACTTATGATTATTGTCACTTTACATATTTTTTGGAATAAATGTCTAACTTATGGTTATTGTCACTATGAAGTTTTGTATCAATTTTTAGCGTTTCTGAGCAGTTCACTTGGTTATCCTAAATTTATTTTGAAACAGTATTAGTTTTTACATATTTTGTATTAAATAAATTATCTTTCACTTTTGACAATTTTTGATTTGAATCCAAGTTGCATATATACAATAAAACAATAATTTTATCTAACTTTATAAGTGAGTTACATGTGATGTGTGTCTTTTTAAATAAAATATTGATGTATTTTTTAACATGTATTTAAATACATTTTTTTTTTTCTATTTTATTTTTAAAGTTTTTTTTTATAATAAATCTCTTAACTTGAAACAGGTAGTTCCAGAAACCATGGCCTCACTAGCTAATCACCCATGGTAAGTTACCTTACNAAAAAAAAAAAAAAATCTTTCAATAAAAATAAGTGAAATATAAGAAAATAATAAAATGAAAATAGATGCATCAGATTTCGTGGACGGTTGTAAGAGAGTTGGTCACATCTTGGCATGTTGTAAGAAAGAACAAAATACACATAAAAAAAGTAAAAAATAAAAAATAAAAATAAAAAATATGTAATAATTAAGGTATCCAAATAAGTTGGTAGACAAAACAACTCATGCCGGCTGCACCTAACCTCCAAACTCCCTATCAAACTTCATATTCACGAATAAATAAAATATATGCTGAACTTAAAGTTATTGCTTAACATTTAGTTATGTGACAAACTTAAATTAACCAGTCAAAAGGTAAAGAAGGAAAATAGAAGTACATTTAAGGTTTGAATTTAGAGATATATAGTTTCAAAGTAGTCTATGGGGCATCACAAATTTCGCCAATAATCAACTTCAAACTAATATTTATGACGAGAGCAACTTTTTAAGCATTGCGTATTAGATAA